TGAGTGCGGAACCCTGAAAATTTACTATTACAAATATATTTTTATGTGTTATCATGAGTTTGCGGTATCGAAACATTTTCGAGAAAAAAAAAGTTTAATTACTTTATCACCAATAGATCAGGTGTTCTGCTGTAAATATTACGATAGTGTAAAATTTTATCTCGATAAAAGGAAAAGTTTTATTTATTTTTACTTGACTATGACTCTCGGTGCAGACGCAACAGACGTGACATCCATATAAATTGACCTACAAAAGTTCCTGGTCACTTCAAAAATCATGAAATCTTTTCAAATATCGAACGTAGCCCGATCGATTTAATAAAATTTATAATGCAAGAAACTGGATATTTGTTATCTTTCTCGTTTTGTAGTATTTTATATATAAGTCACAAAGTTAGATCGCAAACGCTTTAGTTAAATTTTAAACCAGTTTTTAATGACATGACCGATTAAATATTATCTGTAAATTTAATAAAAGTTATATTTATTTTCCGATTATTATTATAGAACAATTAATCAATATCTAACTAAGAGTACTACATTTTTTGGATTCTTTAATAATATGTTTTCTTTTTCAAACTCCCGTAACTTGATTCTTCAGTTTAATAATGACCACTTATGATTTGACATACGACACTCACTTATCCACGATAATTCCGATTTATGCAGGTGTAGCACCTCGCCACCCACTGGGTTTTGTACAGAAGGTATCAGGATAGTTGGAAAGCCCAGCGTCATGCCATATCCTGGAATCAAAAATGTTTATTATGAAACTAATAAGAACCAGACTTACTATTTATCTTCGCTTTTAACAAGCCCCGCGCCCAGTCAATGTCTGCAAGATATCCTTGCACCAACTTTAGGACGCAAATATGGCTTAAAATTTATGGGGTTATTTTAGCGGCACGAATAATATTTTATGACTTACTAATTTATCGTATAATCCCGGCTAATTTCTAATGCGCCTGGCCGCTATTTTGATGATGTAATGAGGAAGTATTTTAAGAAAAAAAAGCACTAAAATGCACTTCACTACATAGCGACTCTAGCAAAAGTTGATTTTTGCAGGAACCAAATGAACCAAAGACAGGTAGTCATTTCCGTTACTTTTAACTAACATATTAAAAAACTCAAATTTGCAAAGTTTTAAACTTAGATATCAATACAAATACGAAAAATTACAAATAAAATATGGGTCTTGAAAATTTATTTACTTTTATACATAAAAGAAAGCAAGGGCTGTCATGGAAAAAATCAAGAAACTACCGTAACGACATCTGGTTTGATTTCGGGAATTAATGCTTTTTTTAAATACTTCCTCATTGCATTAAAAAATCAGAACTGTTAATAAACGAGTGCACTTGATGAGTTGTGCTGTGTGGGATCACACATCTTTTTTTTATGTTTTTGTTTTTTTTTTTTCAATTGTTATTGTAAAGTATTGTTGTACTTGTTATGGTTGAATAAAACAGTAACTGCTTTTATGATTTTTACAATAAGTAAACATAATTTCTCTAATAATAAATAAATCTTATATCTCCCGTTTAATTATTACTTTTAGTTATGTTCAAAATAAATTGTTATCGCGTTATTACAAAGTAAATATTATTTTTTATATATATTTTCTGAATATTTACATATATATTGATTATTTCCAAAATTGTATGTAATAAATGAACAAACTAAAAGTTATCAAATATTTCATCAATATTTTGGGTATTATCAATTTTCAATTCAGCCGAGAGACGCCCACTGCTGGGCATAGGCCTCCCCCAAAGATCTCCAACGCGATCGGTCCTGCGCCTCCCGCATCCAGGCTTATATTATTGGGTATTTATTATTCATAGATATTTCCATAATAAATAAAAAATATTTCTTGCCTTTAGTGCTTTTTATCTATACTTTCTATTTTCATATTATCGCATTAGGACTATTATTTCTAGGATCAGTAATAACTACTATACAATTGACACAATTACTAATGAATGACACAATTACACTAATACTTTTGTAGTAGTTGCGTAAAGCTTTAGCTCGTACGTAGTGCATACGTACATAACACAAGGTTAAAAACAGTAATGTACACACTGCTGCACGTCAGACTTATACATTGTGGAGTGGACTGCACCGACAGCGCTTCGTATAGAACTTCCCTAATAACAGAGGTTTGCTTATACGGTGGTGGTGAATAGCGTTACGTGCGGCGAGCGTACCTTCACTAAAGCTATATTAGTAAAAGCTGGGCTTAAATTGCAACACAACTGAATGAGAGTTAGTTACAGCGGTTTTTATTGACCTTCACTGCCTGCTCCAAGAGATATTTCAAAGCCTTTAAAAATGACTTTTAATTTATTACTCGTACATTGCTCGCAAAGTGTTACGATTATTCTAAAAGTTCTCGGTAAATCCCTTCGTGTGAGTGACTCACGACTCACTTTATAACTAAAAGATATAAAAAACAGGGGGAAGGCAACATTGTGTTTTTTCTATTCGAAGAATTGTTTAATATGACACCTGACACTCTCAAATTTATTGATGAAGTTTTAACTATAGGCTGTAGGTATAGTCTATAAAGATTTTATATTATTTCTATATGCAAAACCCTTTATATCATTGGCAAAACTTATAGAATATTTTGGTGACACTTCATTTTCATTCGTTCCTTGAGAATGAGCGAATAAGCATTTTAATTTTCGTCTACAGGAAATACGGATTAAACTTGCTTCAAGTTAAATAACGCTTGTAATGAGAAATTAATTAACATTGCTGGTTCAAACAATGGGCCATTAACTCTTAACATACAAATCTGGCGTGCCGATTGAAACCGATAAGCACTTGATCTCAGTATAGGTACCTACCTACATTGAGTAATTAATCCTCAGCGAAAAGGAGATTATTGATATATCAACATAATCATCAGCCTGTTAATTACCCCACTACTGGTATATAGGCCTTTTTGTCTAGTGCGCAAAGAAGAAAAACAAATTGAGTTAAAGCGGCATATAGGTGCTCATAATTATATTCGGAATTATCGCAACTTCCTGTGCATTAGTATTTTATAATAAAATGAGCAATTGAAACCAATAAAAATTAAAACCTCTATAGTGAAAGCGCTGTTTTCGACGTCGAGTTCGAGGCTGATTTTATAAAATAATAACATATATAATTACAAATATGTATTAAACTCAATTAGCTTTTCAATTCTAAATTTATATTTTCTAAATATTAAATAAAATATGTATTGAAATACCTAGAAGCAACAAGTTCTTGACGCTCACAGCTATGATCTGAGGAAGCGCAGTGCGGAAGTCTTTTTTGTAACCTTGGTGGAGGTCACACATCTCATCTTCTAGCTTCGTCATCTTCCATCTGCGAAAAATAGTAGGAGGTTACTCAAAATTATTATCTCGACAATATGACATTTAAAAAATCTAAATGACTACTACGAAATAGCCCCAATGAAGTTATTGGAGAAAGAAAAGATAATCGAAAAATATCGCACAATGACAGAAAAACCGATTTTTTTTTCTATCGGCTTATGGTAATTTTAAAACACTTAAAAATGTAACGATAGGTCATGGCCACATAGAATACGTTTTGCCGAGAAAGTTTTTGGCATAATATTCATCGCATAATGAAGATGATCTATCAATTATTATTATGTTGTATTGTATTGTTTATAATTCCTTTGGTTACTGGTAGAGGACTTTTACTTCTATATCGGCCGAAGGACATTAGCAACGATTGTATAGTCTCTCACCATTTGCGATATGATCTGTCTTACGGAATGGGAATGTCAGATACAACAACTTTAGTAAGTAAATTAATTTTAGTAAGCACCTTATAAATTATGGGTGTTACAAAAGTAATGGAAACGACATACTATTCATTGAGAATGCTGTTAAGAAACCATTTGAATTTTTAGACTAGCTTAAGTTTATTTTCCACAAAATTTATTCCGACAAATAATTTGTTTTATTTCATAATGCTGAATGATTCACACTGTTTGTGGTCAAGTGGTGATTAAATATTTTTGCTTGAAAAATTTTAATGTTAAAAAATATTTTTTAAAGTTATGTGTTATTAAGGTTTTGAGAAGAGAATAAGATGGATGATGATGACTGGATGAATGATGAATGATCCACGACTGGACGCGCTTCAAACATCGAATATTTTTTAAATACATTATTACCTAGATGCCAGTCTGTAAAATTACATTTTATTGCTGAAAAGTTTTCAATTAGGAATTATTTCGTTGCGTTAACGTTTTCCAAGATCTTGTAGTAATGGAAAAGGTTTTTGGACCCTGCTATTCAAGACTTGTCTCTAGTCTATACTTTTAATTTTCTGACTAACTTCCAGGAGATCCCGAGCAATTTTGTCATCTTACCTGAGATTAGAGCGAATTATGTTGCTAAATAAAATTTCTACCGACTAACCCACTACCGACTATGACAGACACCAGACTAAGACCACCACTTTTCACCAGTACAACATCATACAACATAGATAGCTAAAAAAATTTGGAAACCACATTATTTATAAAAAGTACGTTTATTGTCAAAAGTGCGAGTGAAGTCCAATGAGAATACCTATCGTGATCAGTATTTTTTTTCTAGTATAATTATCAAATAAACCAAGATGAACATTTACAGAAGATCTAGGAACTTCTATACTCACAAAACTACATACATCGTTTCCTCGACAAGTTTTATAAGCTTCGTAAAAATAGCAATCTGATTTTTAATAGAAAAGGCATGATTCTAATTGGTCTATTGGGGTGAATCTCTGGGTGAGGGGTTACCCAAGTAGCCATTCACTGTTGAGGAAAAAAACGATAATATATAATGAGAATATACTGATATTCTCGAAAATATATTAAGTAGGTGTGTAGGGAGTACATGTAATACAAATAAAATTATAATAAGAATTTTGCTAAACAAAATTAAAGCTCGGATTTTAAAAATGAATTTATATTTTTGATATAGGTATTACGTAATATGAAAGAGATAGATTACGAATGCATCATCGAAATAGTAACGGAGACAGCAGACGATATATATTTGCTGATAGTGATTCGTTTCCCTAATACAATTGAGGCAAATTGTGCCAGAAATAGGAATGCTTTTACTGTCTTCAAGAAAAACAAATGTCTCGGTATTTGCAACTTGACAGGTGACAGGGACGCTAATTCACCATACTTCGTAATTACAATTAGACCAAGAATACGATTTCGTTACATAAGCAATAGCAGTATTAATTCAGATATGGACGTAAGTATTAAAGTTTTTTATATTGTTTATTTTGTATAATTATTAATGTTGATGTGATGTGTGCACTTTGTACAACGTAAGAGTATGGTCTTGCTATTTTATTGTTAATTGTATCTATAGTTACATATTACTGATCATATATGTTGGAGAGTTTCTTGTGCCCAATCGTCTAAATGTGGAGTTAGTCGAACATTATACGGGCTTCTGGATTTGATGATTAGAAATATGGTTATAGATATGATTTATATTCATTTTGAAATTCATGAGCTTGGCAGATTATTGTCGGCAGAAACTCATCAGCTAGATGTCGTAATGACCTATACGAGGAGATATTCGAGATACTAAGTAGGATACACGTTGTCTCCTTACTTTTAAAATATGTATCCCCAAACCAAAGAGAAGATATGGTTACAGTATATAACTTTTTATATAACTTTTCTTCAGGCTAACTTCTATCAAGTTACAGCAACTGCAGCTCGTAAACAACCCTCGAACGGTTGCAATAGCAAGAACGAGACTGTATGCGATATGCAAAGTGATAAGTATTGCTTCACCAGCGGAGTTGTTTGTGACGGAATCAAGAATTGTGGCGTATCAGATTGGTAAGTAAACATTTTTCAACACCGTAGGTGGTAGTGATTTTTTTATTACTGAACAAAATATTACAATGACTGCACATAAGGAATATTCATTGAAAAACATGTATTATACGAGTATTATACTTAGATCCTACCATACGACAATGATAATTTGATCTGAACATTGGATCTATAATTTGATGCCTTTTTCTACGTGTGTCTTCTTCTTTCACGATCGTTATTTCTCTCTCTTTTCTCATATTCTTGATTTAACATCAATTATTACATTTGTTTTTTTTTTTGTTTTAATTATTATCTTATCATTACCAGCCTTTAAATGTCCTGTTGCTGGACTAGGATAGGTCTTCCCTATGGGTGGATCGAAAGAACAGGAAGAAGATGATTTTATCTTTATGTTTTTTCATCACCCAAAGAATAAGTCATCTTCTTCCTGTTAGGGTAAAAATAAAAAAAGTATTAACAATATTTATTTAATGTTGAATTGGCTTATTCTTCTTTCATTGTCTTGTGCGGTTATGGTTTGCTATGTTATGACGTCATAAGTGCGATTATATCTATGTTTTTCCCAATGCAATTTAAAATGTAACTTTGTCAATAAATATATGTTGTTAATCTTTTTCGAAATAATGCAAATGATAACAAATCATCAGTCCCCAGTTTACACTCATTCTTCCTATAAGTTTTTATTTTGACAGTTATATTATCAGATAAACATTATAATTGAAGGTACGACGAAAGGAAATCTGAATGTGAAACACCGTCAGAACACATTGGTTATGCTCCTGTGGTCGCCGTGGTGGCGGTGATCATATGTGTTGTGCTCGCAGCCAGCCACTGTATGCTGCGCTACCTTCCAATGGCAGCCAACTCATTCTTCATATTCAACGCGAACGAAGACAACAGACTATGCATAGACACTGTATTCAAACATCCGGATTATCCTCAGGACAACATCGATAATATCAAGAAGACGTCCATTATACCGGTTTTATTGCACATTTGTTTTCTCATTTTCTTTTAATTGTTAGGTGCATTTAAAAAATATGTATAAAAGAAAACTTCTCTAAGCGATCAATGGTGATAAAAGTAAAGCTAAAATCCGTTGAATGTTTTCATTTCGAAATATGTGTTTAACAGGTGTCGAGTTCTTCAAATGAAGACTCTATGGACCAACAAGTTGTTAATAACGAAACCATCGATGTAACATTAAAAAAGATTGAATTGCAATCTCCTCCTGAAACTAAGGTATTTTTTTTATCTGACTCCAATCTAATTTATTTATCTATCACATATAAGTAGATATATGAATATAAACAATCTGTGATCATTCGCGCATTCAAGTTCGCGGCCTCAGCAAGATAAAATATAAAATATAAGCAAAAGTAATTCTATTTTTCCACGTAATCTCCACTTAACTCTATGCATTTCTTCCATCTGGTTTCCCGAGCCTGTATGCCGGTCATAAAAAAAATTTCTTCAAGGCTTTCAAAAAAGTCACCCACCGCAGCTTCGACCTCCTCATTTGATGAAAATTTTTGATCTCCAAGGTGTTCTTTAGGTTTGGGAATAAATTAATGTCTGAAGATGCCAAATCAGGGGAATAGGCGGGATAGGGCAGTAATTCAAAGCCACAATCACGAATTTGAGTCATAGCTTCAACAGACGTGTGACCGCGTGCATTATTCTGATGGATGGATTTGTTGCTGAGTAATCCTGGCCTTTTCTCTTTGATTGTTTCTCGCAAGCGACGAGGGGGTGCAGTAATAAGCCGAGTTTATATTTTCACCTTTTGCAAGGTAGTCCACCATGATGACACCCTTAGCATCCCAAAAAACTGACACCATCACCTTGCCAGCTGACAAAATTGTTTTGGCTTTTTTTGAAGTCGGTTCATCACCTTTTTTCCACTGCTTGGATTGCTGTTTTGACTCTGGGGTGTAGTGGTGTACCCATTGTTACAAATATGGATAAAAAATCTTGTGGATCAGTCTCAAACATTTCCAAACAGTCGCGAGAAATCGTGAGGCGTATTCGTTTTTGTTCGACTGAAAACAATCTGGGTACCCACCGCGTAGAAACCTTAGAAAATCCAAGTTCATTGTTACCTGATGGTCAATCTTCGATCTGGCAATATCAGATCACAGATTTTCCCGATGTTTTCTTCAGTCGTAGACGTCATAGGCCGAGCGAGGGTCATCTTCAATACTCTCTCGTCCGCGTTTAAATTCAGCAATCTCCTTTTTCACAGTCGTATACGACGGAGCAGATTGCCCCAAAGTTGTTGAATTATCTTCGTGAATCTCTTTTGGAGTTAGTTTTTTTAAAACAGGTATTTGATGAAAGCACGTTGCTCTATTTTCTCCATTCTTTAAAAATGCTGCATAAACAGTCAATTGCACAAACGTCCATCAAAATCCACATTATTTAAAAGCGACAGAACCAATAACCGGTTGGTTATTGGTTCGACTATAGAAAATAGGTGTAAAAATTATATACTTCGTATTTTATCTCTTTATTACCGATGCAGTTAATTTACCCCCGGTTTCACTATCTAAAAACTATCCGTTTTTGCTACCATCCGTAGCATTTCCTATCGATGGTAGCTAAAAAGTGTTTCAATGACATACCATTGGTAGGTAGAGCTACCGATGATGTCCTACTAACGGATTGATCTAATACTGATAACCGTTCGAAGGCAAAATGTATGAAAACGATGCAAAAAGGTGTTTAAAAAAAATCTATACGTCGGTAGAGCTATCAAACTTACTATCCGTAGTTTATCTATAAAATTTGCCTACCGGTCATTTTCCGTCGGTTATTCATATAAATATTGGTAAATTACACGAAAACCTTGTAAATTAATAGAAGAATAACAGTTTTTGGTCAAAAAAATAATATTGTAGAAGAGCTTAATGTGATTCCAATTAGAAGAATTTAAGTTGTAATCATGTCATTGTTGTACCTTTGAAGGCTCATACCACTAATTAATTATTACTCCGGATGCTTTCTACAATATGATTCTGTTGAAAAACTTTATGATTTAACTCTATATATTTATAAACAACCTGGTTTTGATGAAATTGAATTTGCTACCTACTTGTACCAAAGTTATACACGTTATATTAGTTTATACTCTGTATTTTATATTAATTAAATTCTTAATAAAACCCAATTTGGATATAACTTATTTATTTAACAATAAAAACAATTCATAAAAAACTACGCGCCTATAAATTAATTAATAACCTACAGAAAACCTCCGCCCAACTTTAAAAGCATTGCTTGAAAAGTTGCTTTTGAGATAAGTATTATATTTCACTATTTTTTAAGTTAGAAATTTGGTTAAATTTAAAAAAGAAACGTTTTTATATGTAGTGTGCGCGTAAGTGCTAGTCACTGCCTGAGGTATGCGGGCGGTTGGTCGGGGAAGGGCGCGATTGATAAAACGCACATGAGGTATTTAAGGACAGATAAATCTATGGATAACATGTTAGAATCTATCTTAATCAATGTAATGGCGGTATTTATAATGTAATATTAGGGGTTAAAGTATGAAATTACCATTTTATTGTAATAGGTTTCTTGAATTGACATAGAATTTTCATGGTTTGAGATTTTCGAAAGAAACTTTTTTCACATGGTTTCTATGATGTTCTTCTTTTAAAAATGTGAAACATTTGAATATCGACGTTATGCTACTTACATAGACAAGAAAGATGGATACTGCAAAAATTCGAGTGATTTTTGAATACGAGTTCCGCCCGCAATATCAATGTTGCGTTTGGAGTAGGGTCTGCTAATGAACGCACCGTGCGATTTTGGTTTAAACTGTTTCCTGATGGAATCTTCAACTTGAAGATCGAGCCACGAGGAAGACCGCACACACAGGGGAATAACGATGAATTAAGAAAGATAGTGGAAGCCGATCCTAGTCAAACTATCCAGGAATAAGCGGCATGGTTTAACGTTACGTATACAATATTGACTCATTTGCGTCAAATCAATAAAATAAAAATACGAAAAATGGGTGCCTCATGATTTGCCTGATCTGCAGAAAGAAACGCGTGTTGAAACTTGTGTTGCATTGTTAAAGCGGTACAGAAATGAAGGAATATTAGATCGAATTGTGACATGTGTTGAAAAGTGGATTCTTTATGATAACCGTAAAAGAAAAATGCAATGGCTGACTCCAGGTCAAACGCCACAACAATGTCCTAAAACAACTTAGTAAGTAACTTACCAATAAAAAGGTAATGGTAACTGATTGGTGGTCTCAGCATGGTGTTATTTACTATAGTTTTCTCCGATTTGGTCAAGCAATAACGGCAGATATCTATTGTGCCGAACTCCGAATAATGTTGGCAAAACTAGCAGTAAAACAGCCCTGACTCATGAATCGATCTTCACCATTATTGCTCCATGACAACGCGAGACCTCATACAGCAAGAGAAACCGTTTTGAACCTTCAGGAACTGCAGTTAGAAACCATTCGTCATTATCCGCATTTGCCAGACCTTGCTCCAACGGATTACTATGTTTTTCGTGATTTGGACAATTATCTACGTGACAAGAAGTTTTCTTCCTAGGAGGCAGTACAAAATGCTTTTACATAGTTTGTGCAGTCTACATTCTCAGAGTTCTATCGCAAAGGCATAAATGACCTTCCTATTAGATGGCAGCAATGTATACAAAACATTGCTGCCATCTAATAGGGCGGTATTGGGGCTGTCTCGTTTTTGTAGCGCATCGGGCATGTTTGCTGCAGCGAACACCGACTGCTTTCACGCAAGTATGCGCAAAAGAGGAGCCTCCATGGTGAGCAGGGTTCAGGCCAGCTCCAATGCCGTCCTGGCTGTGATTGCTAGTAGGCTGGACTGTCCCTACATCCGACATTGCTGTGAAAGACACGCCCCACGATGCCGGAGGGAGAGACTATTTTAATGATAATATTTGTGACGAGTAATTTAATTAAATTTTTAGTGATTTCATTTTTAATTAATTTATTAATAATTGATTATAAATTTAATTGAACTGTATTGTATTTTATATGTATATTTTTAATTATCTAATTCAAATGTATCACAATATGGGTTATTATCACCTGAAATAAAGATTATTATTATTATAAAACAATGGTAACTATTTTGATTAAATAAATTTGTTAAAAATTAAAAAACAAACAATTTTGAATTTCAGTATAAATCGTCAATTTCATACTTTAATACATATTATTTCTCTATTTCCTTGTCAAACATTAATAAATTAATATTTGAAAGTGTTTATTAAATTTTATTATTTACGACATACTTTTATAAGCAAATTACCATTTTTCAATAAACTAACCAAAAATATTTTCATTGTCACCTTTATAGTACAAAAATACTGGACATGGCTACAACTTCCATATCATCCTCAGAATCTGACTCATTTCCTAGATTTATGATTAACTTGTCTATCACATTGTTTATAACCTTATGTCGTGGTTCCAATATTGGTTCTCAATTTTTTTTAGGTGGTCGTCACACTTTTGTTATTTTTGCGGAGTGAATTCAGAAAACAGTCTTGTGATGATTAGAATTTTCTCGTCCAATGAGGAATTTATATAATTTGAAGCTAAATTGATTGTTCTTTATATCGGCTATCTCAATGGGGATAAGATCGGGATGATACGGCGGATGACGAAGAACGATATGACCTGCAGCCTTTAAAATCTCGTGAACGATATATTTTTTTTCGGACTGAGTTCTTTTATCAGAGAAAGGAGTTCGGGTTTAGTATTTTCTGGTGTAAAGTATTGTCCATTACTACCACGGAATTAGGAGCTAATTTTTTTTCAATTTGTGATCAACCCAGTTATGAAAATTTGTGGCATTCATATCCCCATGGTAATCCCTATGATTTGAATTGATTTCAAAATAGTTGAAGCACCGTCATCTAATCCGTCTCCACTGCGTCCAGGAACAATCACTAAACAATGCTCTTTTGCCAATATCATCATAAGTACCAGGATCAGATTCGGATTGCCAACACATTTTGGAGTTGTGACTACTGTGAACGTAGGTTTCGTACAGAAAATATATGTTTCGGTTTTCATTTTCTTTCTTCAGCTATACTGGGTCTCTCAATCAAAATTTGTCTCTTAGATTTTTATTTCTTAAAGATATATTCCATCTTGTGTAAAAGATATCTTAAATAGTTACAACCGCAGTTTACGATACCATCTTCTTTTAAAATTGCAAGCAGCTTACGAAAACTTGGGATTTTTTTATCAACAGTATAAAACTGTTGCAATTTTCTTCGTATTACCATCTCAAAATTATCATTATGGATTCTCTTTTTTATTTGTTTAGATTTCAGTGGAGACGAAATTATCAGGTTTTCCGATGTTTGAAGATTCGAATATCCTTTAGCTACAGTTCTCAATATGCTGCGAGCTGACACTCCTGTAGACTCTGTTACTAATTTATTAATGTTAATATCATATTTGTGTTCTATAATTTAGTAAAGTGATATATAGACGTATATGATATATAGAAGTATAGAACACATACCTCAGGCGGTGACTAGCACTTCCACGCATACTTTAAAGTAAAACTTCAGATTCTATATGTTTCAGCATTCAAAAGAGACTAATATACTTTTATATATATAAAAGGAAAATTTAAAAAACTTCTGAGTTATTGAATTTATATGAAAATTAAAAGTAAGTTTATCATCCATCGAGATTTCTAAGTAGTTAAGTCTTATTTTGTTAAACCTTGTCAATATATTGTTACTTAATACAATAAGAATACCTCCAATGACATGATGAGTCGTGATGCTAGTTCCCAGCTTTTCACATTCTTATATCGAGTCGTTCAATCTATTATACGAGTATATTAATATTATTTTCTAAACCTAAGTATTTCAGAAAAATAAACGTAGGTTCGTTGATCTACGCAAAAATACTTAGATTAACACTGCGTACGTATTCATAATAAATCTTACTAAATAAAAAAGTTTAATCCAATGAGCCAAATCTTCCGAATCGCTGTTTCTTGCCTGCAGCATAAAATATAATCAAACCATTTTATCTAATAATTAAAAATAGATATATTTTTAGTTCAAGTTAAAAATCACTTGTTAATTCTTAACTAGTTGCTGTAATGGTAACTCTTTTGTTTACATCTGAATTCCATTTCAGATGATAATTTTATTTAACAAAATAAACAAAAAAAAAAAATCAAGTACCAATTTCACATTTAGTGTCGGAAGACAATTAGTTTACCACTTGGTTTATCTCTTTCTTTTGTCCAAAAAAATATTAAACGTTAAACACCAACATTTCAATATGATCATAATGTTACCTAAGACAAAACTGTATGTAAAGATCCCTTTTCCTTAAATTAAAACTCTACCAACAATCATTCGTAGTTGGTAGGCGCCTTCTGATGATTGTCAAACACAAAAACGAATGGTTAACGGTAGTTCAAAAAACGGTCGGTAGCTGCTACCGACGGTTGTCAGTAGATTATTGAAACCGGGGGTTAAAAAAGGGGCTTGTACGCCTATAAAAAAGATTATATATATCTTCCGTCATCTATTCATATGCCAACAGAATGACCCAGAACAGAAAGTATCGCCGGAAGAGGAACATAAAAAAAGGAAAACTACGATGAGAACAATGACAGATATGGTTCAGAAACGTTTACGATCGGTCACCAACAGAAATCGCAACGACAAAACTGACGCAAAAATATATTAGCCAGCACTTGAGTTCGATTCACGAAACAAGTCTCTTGGATCACAACGTGGTCGCTTGTATTACAAAGGAGAGTTATGCCAAGGGAACTGTTTCTTTGTGAAATGGATTAAAAATCTTGTACATTATAAAGATTGTTATTTTATCAGTTCCTAATATTTGTAAGTAGGTATTATGAATTGATTATAAATATATACATATTATATAATGATTACTTAGTAACGATTTTTCTATTATTAAAAAATACAAAATAAATAAGTGGTTAATTTTTTCAATAAACATTGAAATCGGGCATTTAATAAACTATAGAAAACCTCAGCCCGACTACGACTGTTCTTGGAAATAAGACCGCTTTTAAGATAAGTATTAATTATCACTTTTTTAATTTGAAGTCGATTTTTAGTGATATTTATATAAGTACTTTATATAGATATCATTCAAATATTAAATATCTATAAAAGAAATTATATTTACAACAAAAGGCCTGAAATTTATTCGTACGACGTAACCACAAAGAAATTGTGCACATACCTACTTGCATAATAAAATAATATAATAAATATTATCGATAGTATAATAGACATAGAGGAACCTGCGGATAGCTGAAACAAGACATCCAAAGAGTAAAGTATATAAGACAACTTTACTGTCTTTCCAAAACCATATATTTTTTAGCTGAGTTCAAAACTTAATATAAAACCTACAAAGAGTACATTTACATAAAGGTATAAAAAAGTATAATCTATGAACAAAAAATATTTTGAACATAGAAATCTTTAGTTTTTGACATGACATCTACATAATCATAGTCATACCATCTCGGCCCATTAAGCTGTCGAATAAATTAAGTTGCCTATTTTTATTTATATTTTAGGATTCCGTAAGAACACACCACGCAAAAAACATAGGTTTTTTAGGATCACTGGTGTATAATTCTAAAGTGTTTGTCTAAATATCTTTTAGCCTATTAGGATTAATTGGCCTATGTTATTTGCTTCGAAACTAATGGTCCGATTGGTACACACTATGCGTAAGTCCTCACCAAAGAGGAACGGTATTATATGAATTTGAAACGAACAATTGGGAGTTCATTTATTAACTTTGGGTTTCCAACTGCAATCTAAGTAAGTGAGTTCTTTCAATCATAATTAACTCCTATTTTACTAATTTAAACCTATTTTAAAAATTCTTCAAACATTTAGATTTTTAATTAGTCAAACTCTGGTGGGTGACATGCCTAGGCAATTATTTATGCGGGCGAAGAGTTAAGCTAAGAGAAAAGTTTGAAAACACAGGAATTACTAGTTGTTTATGCCTTTGAAAATAAAAAGACATGTCAAATGATAATAATTGTATATCAAGATGGCTGAATTAAAATCCTAATAACTAGGAAACACCTTTTGTTTGCCATGATTATAACCTTCAACTACCAAAATTTGTAATTTAACCAAGACATTAGTTACTATAATCATAGCATATCATAGGTTTCCTTCCCCAATTAAATACTAGTTTAGTAATAATTATTATATTTAGATAAAAAAATTTCATTGGTTGTTTTTTTACCCTTAGTTCGTTTTTTTATATTGTTCTCGGCAAAATGTAATGTGATATGGTGACATTATAATAAAATTAAAAATTTTCAAGATTATTTTTCGAGTATGTTTCCAGCAACTAAATGTTTTAGAATGTAAAAATTAAAACCTAGGTACCCAGTTTCGTCATAAAAATAACCCGATCTCTATTAAAATGTACAAAGAAGAATGGCGAAATCAGACCCCATAATTTACAAAACCGTACATGGATGGTAATATGACAAATAAATAATATATGATTAATAGATTTAATTTCTACAAAATGGTGAATTTTAATGTCGGGGAACCAAACTAAAATATTAAATGCTGCTAATAATTATCAAGATAACAAAACGTCTGATGATAGTGCAAAAACAAAACGCGAAAATCTTTTTAAGAAACGTTCTGGTCTACGCAGAAATACTGCGTAGAAATACTACTTTAATAATTGAAAGCTAAGATACCACAACCGATTTAAGAAGATTATTGCCAGTTCTGCAGTTGATCCGCTGAAAGGTTAACGTATCGATTATTTTGTTCTAAATAATCGATT